AAGGAGGAGCCGAACGCAAATGCACCTAACATCTGAAATAAATAGTTCCAAGAGAGAAAGCTTTATGGAGATCTAAAGACAACAGCAGGACTTCCATCGACAAGGAATTGTCCCAATTAGATTGTACAGCTGACAGTAGTGCCAAAGTTTGGCAAATTTCATCAAGTGTTTGACGACCGCTAATAAATCCTGATTGATCATATTAAATATAATGAGCTAAACATTTATTAAGGCATAAAGCCAAAACTTTAGTGAGAATCTTAAGATCGCAATTAATGAAGGAGATAGGACGATAATTAGAGACAGCCGTAGTATCTTTATTGTGCTTAGGAATGACACTAATGAACGCTTTATTTTCGTCAGAAGGGACCACTCCCCCGTCTCATAAATAATTAAAATAATGGGCCATATGTGGAATCAGAAGGTCAGGGAAAGCTTTATAATAAGCATGAGGAAGGCCGTCCGGTCCTCGGGATTTATGTGGAGCTAAGGTTTTTAAGGCGTTCTGAATCTCCTCACAAGTGATATGCTGATCCATTAATTCTCTATGGGCCTCCTGAAGAGAAGGAAGAGTCACAGAACTCTGGAAACTGTTTACAGATAAGGAGATGTCCCTTCAAGTTGAACAGTAAAGATCAGTTTAAAAGGAATGAACCGCTTGGAGGATCTTACTGGGATCTTAAGAGAGAGCACCGGTGGTCAGTCTAATTTCAGGAAGAGCCACATGAGAATGTTTAGGAGATAGCTTGCGTGCTAATAATGTACCTGGTCTGTCCCTTCAAGTGAAAAATTTGTGATTAGCCCAACATAACTGTTTATCCGCCGTAGTAGTAAGGCACAAATGAAGTTCCAATTGGGCCTGGTCAAATTTAACCAATAGAGCAGGATCAGGTGTCTTTTCATGTTGGGCAACAAGATCAATATACACTTTAGATATAGTCAGAATCAATTAGTTTTGAGCCTTTTTAAGTCGCGAAGACAGTTGAATAAGAAAACCCCTGACCAAGGCCTTATGAGCTGCCCAATTAATAGCCGGAGTCGTCTCATCCGCCTTATTCATCTCAAAGTAAAATTTCAGATGTGTGGAAATATCTAGACATAAAGAAGCGTTACCTAAGAGAGATTCATTAAGGCGCCAATGAGGAGCAGTCCTCCCATGTGTCCAAGACGAAAGCGTTAAAAGAAACGGGTCATGGTCGGACCAAGGTGTAGAGACAATTTTTACTGTAATCAATCTGGAAAGTGTGCTTGTATGGACGAATATATGATCGATGCGGGAGTAACAGTTATGAGCTCTAGAAAAATGGGAGTAGTCTTGGGAAGTTGGATTAGCTTCTCTCCAAGCATCAACAAGATCATAGCGATATAAGAGCTGAGCAAACTTACGGCTCTGTCTAGAAGGGGATTTAAGCATGACGGTACGGGATCTTTCCAGCAGCTGATCTAATGCTAGGTTAGAGTCACCAGCCAAAATAACATCACTCTCAAACTCTGAAGGCAAATAATGAAAGAACTCCACCTGATTGATATTTGGAGCATAGCATACCGAAAAAGTAAGCAAGTTTTTTCCCAAGTGACCTTGCACCAGAAGATAGCGTCCCTCCCAATCCTTAATAATTTTAGATTCAGTAAACGACAAACAGCGGGATAAACAAGGGGCCACCCCCCACCCCACCCCCGTTTCTTCTCCGTGGCATTAGAAAAATAACAGAGGATAATCTTTGTGGACATATCGTGGGGTAAAAGAAGGGGGAAAATGTGTCTCCTGAAGGGCTACGAAGAGCCTAACCCCTGGACATTATGAAAGAGCAATCGGATAACCCCTCTGTCAGACCGTTGGGGAGACATGATCAATAACTGGCGAACTATAGTCCGTGAGAGCTATCCACTCTCAGAGCACAAGAGAAATCAGGATTAACCAATAGCAAGGACAGCTGACCCTCAGATAGAAAAAGGAAAGAAAAAATAGAAAAAAAAAGAGAAGACACGTGGAGTATTCAAACCCTCGTGTCAAGCAATGTCTGGTATTACACATTAGAACACAACGAAACAGAAGAATAAACCAGGATTTTCAGAACTAAAGCCCTGCAAGGGAAGAGGTCTACCCAGAGAACTATCTCAGGGGAGGGTCTTCCAAGTCTGGGAGGGTCCATAGACACCCCCCGGCACAAAAAATAAAACCAGCATAATGTAAACATTAATATAACCAGAACCTTTACAAGAACAAATATCAGCAGGAATAAAAATCACAGTGGGACAAACAGACATATAACATTTTTTTCTTGAAACAGCCTAACAGTGGCAGCTAATGATCCCAAGGGAACCACTGAGAAGCCACCACATAAAAATAAGAAACATTACGAAGCCCTGAAGTTGAAAAGAAAAACCTCAAGTAGTCTTTCGATGCAATTTCGTCTTCCTGGAAGTTGAAGCAGACCACAATGGTGAAAGTGGTGGAGGACGAGAATTAGCTCCCAACGGAGAATGAGATGAAGGACTATGGGAAATGATACCAATTTGAAGCAGGAGTTCTTCACCTTCTTAAAATGTAGAGAACATATAAGGTTTTCCATTGTAGGTAAACTGAAGCCGGAAAGGGTAGGCCCACCTATAGCGGATATCCCGCCGTACCAAGTGGGAAAGTAATGGCTTGAGGGATCTCAGTTTCTGGATGGTGGTCGGAGAAACATCCGCAAAGATTTCTATTTTATGTCCCGCAAGTTCCATCTCCGGATGTTCTCTACCATATTTCATGACCACTTCCTTGACTGGGAAAAAATGTGGTTTGACAATAACATCCCTAGGAGGCCCTCCCGATCTAGGGATGCCCTATGAATACGATCAATCTCTGTATGAAGATCATCAATTTCAGGCATCGCGGATCGCATGAGGGATTGAACAAGGCTAGTAAGCTCTTTGACTGATTCCGGGAGCCCCCGAATACGGAAATTGTATTGCCTGGCCCGGTTCCCTAGATCATCAATTTTAGAGTAAGCTTCATCCAGTCAATCCTGCAATTCGGTAATCATATTGGAGTTTTAGGACACATTATGGACTGTTGCCTCAACTTTAGATTCAATACTATCAAGACGTTGGCCCAATTCTTGAAAATCTTGTTTCAGATCTGCCGCCAATTTAGTAGTAGCTTTATCCAATTCTCGTTGTAACAGGTCAGCAAAACGAGCAATAAGGGTCGCATCCCCCCGAATACTGTGGTGGAGCTGGAGGAAGTATTGGAGAATTCTCAGGACTATCAAGGTCAGGTTCCATACCACTGCTTCGGCTGAGAAATATAGTTGCCATCTCATTATCCTATAAAGAAGAGGCTTGAGAGTCACGGCCTAGTGAGCAGGCCGAGGCCTGTGATCGAGAAACAGGTCACCCGGTCCGCTCTGGAGGTGAGATGGGGTCCCTTCGGGGTTCGGTGCCCATCAATGGGCTCTGAATGTGCTGCGGGGGGTTCACCAGCAATCCACCAGGACATGTGTGCCGGCCGCATGCGCACCCCCTTTTTGCTCTGTCTTTAAAAGGTTTTTGTGATAAAAGCCAAGGAAACTTAGACCTCTGTAGTGTATTAATATATTCTTTACTAAACAGAAAAAAGTATGCACAAACAACTCCAGGATACTCAAATCGTAGCACAATATGCTTACAGCATGCACAAGCTGACTATCTATGTAATGTAATGGACATACACTACAACAGTTACTTAACTTTGACTTCCATTGATGTAATCTTTTTCATGGTTCCTTCAAAGTCCAACTGCTTTCTCATCTGTCTTCAAGAAAAGTGTGTCCTCCTTTGTCTCTCAGAACAACTCTTGCCTCTTCCAAAGTCCAGAACAACTCTTCCTTTTCAAAAAACAACGCTTCGTCCCCAGAGTCCCCAACAACGCTTCGCCCCCAACAACGCTTTTTGTCGAAACCACATGCCTGTTCAAAAGTCCTCTCCTAACTTCCTATTGCCTGACTTCCTCTGCTGAGCTCATAAACCAGTTCGACTGGTTCATTTGCATATCAATAGGAGAAGCCTTAGATTCTAAAACAGCACATGGTCTTAAAACATGTCAAAATTTCACATATCCAAGCTATGAAAATTACCAAATATAGACAAGCAACACAGCAGTCTGGATCAAGTACTTTGGACAGTGATAGCTGGGTTCCGCAATAGAAGATGGCAGTAAAGTTTCTTGTAAAACTAGCGCTTCAGCTTTTCAGCATTCTGTCTTGTTATCCTGAGCTGTTAGAAATTCTGAGTGTTTTTCTGTTAACTCTGCTAATTGGTCTTACTTGAGTAAAGTGTCCAGCCTGATTTTGGCTATGTTACTAGTCTATTTTAAGAATGATGCTTTGTGTCTGTATACCTTGATTAGCCTTCTAGTTAACCACTTGCCCTCCAGAGCATTTACCCCCTTCCTGACCAGGCTATTGTTTGCGATACGGTGCTGTGTTACTTGAACTGACAATTGCGTGGTCATGCAACGCTGTACATAAATGAAATTTGTCATTTTTTTCCCCACAAATAGAGCTTTTTTTTCAGTGGTATTTGATCACCTCTACTTTTGTTTAGTTTTTGTACCATTAACAAAAAAGACTGATAATTTTGAAAAAAAAAACCCTAATATTTTCTTCCATGTGTCAATGTCTAATTGGTTAAATAAGTTTTAGTCCTAAGCTGTTGTTTACAACTCTGGCATTAGCATTATTTTAAACTTTGAATACTGTTACTGGTGTCCGCTTCGTGCATGCTTTTTATCTGCTACACATGTACATGCATTTGTGTAAATATTTATGTGGAATGATTTCTAATTGTGCATTTTTTATATTGACAGTATTGTTAGCTAGATCCTGTTTAAATAGCAGTCTTTAAATATTTTATAGAAGACTGTGATTATGCATATTGTTGGGAATTTTTTGAATAGAGGATACATTTGAGATGTTTATAATAGGAGGATTTGTACCTTTCTAATGGTATTACAATTTTTGTGTTTCATATTGTAGCTTGATTTAACGCTTTACAATGAATTCAAAGTATGGAAAGAAGAGCCTTTGATGGACAGAACATGCACGTTTTTAAAAAGAATTTATCAAGAGGATATATCTCCCTGTTTAACATTTCCAAAAAATGAGGTAAATAACGGTCTTACTATATTATTGATTTCAAGAAAGAAAGCCTTGTTTCTTTCACGATTTGTCTATATATTTTTCATTCTATATTTTATTTACTGAAAAGTTGTTGTTTTTTTTTTTTTTTTTCGTTAAACACATATGCAATAAAAAGCCTCATTACAAAACCCAACCACATTGAAAAAGGTGGAAATATACAACACCAGACCCAGCATTTACATATTTAAAACAATACACATTTGAATTTATCCTATACAACTATCCACAAAAGATATATTTTTACTCTAACATCCCAAAGCCTATAACAGCTTTCATTTTCTAACCAGTTCAGTACCAGTACCAAACCGGACACCTAAAGCCTATTTGCCCAAATTCTATGGCATTTGTTTAAAGCTTTAACAACTTCTTAACAGCTGGTAACCTCTAATCTGACAAAACCAATTCTGTGTATATCCCTAGACACCCAGCATCACACCAAACACTACAAAGACAGCAACACACAATGCAAGGTCTCTACTCTGTGCAATTCAAGTTGGAAATTATTCCATCATGTTGTTTAAACCATTGATATTCAAAGTATGATCATCATCTGAACATTGCTGCCAATGGTTAAATTCTATATGACAGAATTATTTCTGGTAAAAATCCTTAAATTAAGCAGTTGACAATAGTGGTCAGAAATAATTTCAAATTGTAGTGTTGTTTTACATTGATAATCAGTAGAAAAATGCTCCTTTGTATTGACAGTCATTGGGTAGAATACAGTTAATTGGAGACCAATGGAAAGTATACTCCTTTACATTAGTGGTGAGAGGGAAGAATGTCCTCTTTACAGACAGCTAAAAAGATTATTGTAGTTGCTAATCTGGGAGATGATCCATTTGTCTCATACCATTTTGAAAACTAATTTCCAATGCTGAATAAATCTCTAGTGACCTCTGGAGAAGGCCTAGGCACCAGAAAACTTTGGTTCAGGTCTCCTCCAACTATATTAAAACAGTGTTAAACCCAGAAGGAAATATTTATTATATTGCAGCTTACCAATTCTTGGTGTGATGTGATGGCTGTATTAACTTTTCTTTTTTTAGACTTGCCTCTACTTTCATCTGGTGGTCTGGCCAGCAGATCTGTTTTATAAAAGCTGAAACGCTCCAGCTGAATAGATGGGTTTGCAGAGATGAGACAGACCATTTAACACTGGCACAGGTGGTTAAAATGATCATCTTTTATTTATTCTTGTAAAACCTTTATCCTAAAAGGATAAAACTGTTTGCTGTAACTTATTATAAAGTGTAATACATTTAACACTCCCCTCCCCCCCAGACTGAAAATGCTGCTGTGCCTCTTGTCCTCATTCCACCAGAGTGGTGTCTCACTGTTACAGGAGGTGTGTTACTGGCCAGATCACCAGGTGAAAACAGAGGGGAAAAGGCCAGTGAAAAGAAAACTGATGCAGCCACCACACCTAATGATTGGTAAGCTGCAATAAATTAAATTTTTGGTTTCGGGTTCAATACTGCTCTAATTCTGTAACCAAATGGTGCATGATCTTGGAACTTTTTTTTGTATTTTTGTTATCTCTGTTTAGTACAAAATGTAAAAAGTTTTATTTAAAAGCCAATAAAAAGAAAGCATAACTGTATATTTAATTCCTAGCTGGCTGCATCTGTCCTAGAAGCTGTTGAAAACAACACCTTGAGCATTGAACCTGCAGGGCTGCAGCCTGTAAGATTTGTGAAAGCCTCAGCTGTTGAATGTGGAGGACCAAAGTGAGTGTGAATTTTATTCTTTGGCAAATGATCAGTATTAGAACCTTGGTAAAAAAAATTGCAGCACCTGTCGTATTGTAATTCTTTTAAAGTCTGCAATAAGTGTATACTACTTGGTTTTTGCTATTCAGTCAGTCCAGACATCAGTTTTGATAATAGGTAGAGAGGTTACTGATCATATAACCTGTGTGTGCAAACAATTAAATCAGTCTGTATTCCTTGCTGTGATCTTTCAGCAACATGTCATATCAACCAACAATAACTGCATCTATAGCAAGTTTAAAATCGAGGATTCAGTTTGTCTTGTAAATGACTATTTGCAAAAGACTTTGGATTTTTCTAGCAAAAATTTAGATATTTTTTTGCTTGTTAGAAAACTACTAAGCAACCATAAAAATCACTGACAGTCATAATCAAGTGTAACCAACGGGGCTTATTCCTTGAACAGGCTATATATTGCTGCAGTGAAAAAAACATGTAAAATAAATGTAGATAATAGTGTTATTAAGTATGTAGATAACACACTATATCACATGGGATTAAGAGACACAGGATCATGTAAGCAGCAGGTATCACACTCTGAGATCTTGTTACCCTCATCACACAGTCATAATAAACATTGTGAAAATAGTTCAGGAGTTCAGAAGGTATAAGTAATATTGTCTATCTTTTGTCACCCTGTCTCATAGTTTGAATGCCATTTATTATTATTATACAGTATTTATACAGCGCCAACAGTTTGCTCAGCGCTGTACATTACAATGGGAGACAGTACACGAGACAGTACAGAAACAATACAGTGCAATACACAAGGGGCCCTGCTCCTTGGAGCTTACAATCTAGGAGGGAGGGGTTAGTGGTACAGGAGTAAATAGCTGTGGGGGATGGAGTGGTAGGAAGAGTGGAGGAGATCGGCAATTAGGTGAGGGCGGGGTAGGCTTCCCTGAAGAGATGGGTTTTCAGGGTGCGCTTAAAGGTGAGGAGGGTAGGTGACAGTCTGATGGATTGGGGCAGTGCGTTCCAGAGGATGGGGGAAGCTCTGGAGAATTCCTGGAGACGGGCATGGGAGGAGGAGACCAGGGAACTAGAGAGTAGGAGGTCTTGTGAGGAGTGGAGAGTACGTTTTGGGTGGTATATGGATATCACGTCGGTGATGTAGTTTGGGGCAGTGTTATGAACAGCTTTGTACGTCAATGTTAGTAATTTGAATTTTATGCGTTGGGCAATCGGAAGCCAGTGGAGGGAATTGCAGAGGGGGGTGGCGGATACGGAGCGGTTAGTAAGGTGGATGAGTCTGGCCGCAGAATTCAAGATAGACTGGAGCGGGATAGCCTGTGATGATGTAGGCCGGTGAGGAGTGAGTTACAGTAGTCAAGTCGTGATATAATAAGGGAGTGAATGAGTTGCTTGGTAGTCTCTGGGGTTAGGAATGGACGTATTTTGGAGATGTTGCAGAGATGGAATCTACATGAATTTGTCAGTGTTTGGACCTGGGGCTGGAAAGACAGATTGGAGTCTAGAATGACGCCTAGTACTCTGGCTTGCGGGGTGGGGTGAGGTGAGGGGTAGAGAGATTTGCGTGTCATCGGCATAGAGATGGTAGTTGAAGCTGTGGGAGTGTATCAGTTGGCCAAGGGAGGAGGTGTAGATGGAGAACAGAAGGGGCCCGAGGACAGAACCTTGAGGGACCCCAACAGAGAGGGGGAGTGAGGGGGAGGTGGCAGCGTTATAGGTAACACTGAAGGAGTGCTGTGATAGATAGGAAGAGAGCCAGGAGAGAGCGGAGTCTCTGAGGCCAAGAGAGTATAGTTTTTTGAGGAGGAGGGGGTGGTCAACCGTGTCGAAAGCAGTGGAGAGGTCGAGGAGTAGGAGCACTGAGTAGTGGCCATTATCTTTGGCGGTTAGCAGGTCGTTGGTGAGTTTGAGTATGGCGGTTTCGGTGGAGTGTAGGGGACGGAAGCCAGACTATAGGGGATCAAGGAGGTTGTTGTCGGTGCGGTGGGAACTCAGGCGATTATAGACTAAGCGCTCAAGGAGTTTGGATGTAAATGGCTGCAGTGAGATGGGTCTAAGGTTGTTTAGGTCGGTGGGATCCAGGGAGGGTTTTTTAAGTATGGGAGTGATGTGCACGTGCTTCAGAGGGGAGGGGAATGCGCCAGCAGAGAGGGAGAGATTAAAGATGTGAGTGAGGGAGCGTAGGATGGAGGAGGAGGGGTGATCGTAGGAGTTGTGTGGGGTTAGAGTCAAGGGGGCAGGTGGTAAGGCGAGCTTCAGAGAAGACCTTAGTGACCTCTTCAATGGTAGCAAGGTCGAAGGAGTGGAGTGTTGAGGGGTTTTAGTATGAGGAATGTTAGGTGGGGTGGAGGTCTGGACAGTGTGTGAGGTCAAATGAGAGGAGTGTTGAGGGGGTTTTCGTGTGAGGGATGCTAGGTGGGGTGGAAGCCTGAGCAGTGGCGATGTCCCTGCGAATTGCGTCGATCTTGCTTTGGAAGTGGTTAGCAATCTCGTGGGCGGTGAGTGAGGTACTGGGTGGAGGTGGGGGGCAGAGAGAATAGAGAGTTAAAAGTAGAGAAGAGCCGGCGAGGACTGGAGGAGAGGGTATTGATGACGGTTACAAAGTAGGCTTGCTTGGCAGCGTGGAGGGAGGATGTGTGTAGGTGAGGAAGGCAGATTTATATCGGGCGAACGCTTGTTGGGATCTGGTTTTGCGCCATAGTCGCTCCAGCGCACGACTGCGTCCTTTGAGATTTTTGGTATGGTCATTCTGCCAGGGTTGAAGTGGTCCGGGTCTAATACTTCGTGTGGTTAGGGGTGCTAAGGAGTCAAGAGCGGCTGACAGCGAGTTGTTATAAACAGTAGTGGCCAGGTCAGGGCGGGACGGGAAGGATACTGTCGTAAAGTTGGTCAGCTGCAGAGTGGAAGGGGGCAGAGTTCAAGTTACAGAGGTTTCGGCTGGTGATAGTTTGACGTTTGGAGGGGTAGGTGTGTATGAGGACGAGGAGATGGAAAAGGTGATGAGGTTGTGGTTAGAGATAGGAAAGGGGGTGTGTTAGTGAGGTTGTGGGGGGTTCAGAGATGAGTGAAAACAAGGTCCAGGGTGTTCCCGTCGGAGTGGGTGGTGGACTGTATACACTGTGCGAGTGCAAAAGAAGAGGTTAAGTGAGTTGAGATGTAGCCGGGTTATTGATGTTGATAGAGATATTGAAGTCTCCAAGGATGATGGTGGGTAGCTCGGAGGAGAGAAAGAAGGGTAACCAGGCAGAGAAGTCATCAAGGAAGCGGGACACGGGTCCAGGAGGCCGATAGATTACTGCAATCCTCAGAGGGATTGGAGAGAATAGTCGGATGCAGTGGGCCTCAAAGGAGAAGGATAGAGAGGGGAGGTTTGGGAGGACTTGGAAGGTGCTCAGCAGTGACAGGAGCATACCGTTTCGGTATCGCTAGGAGGTTGAGGGAGCGGGAGACAGAGGTCGTAGATGGCAGTGAGTTTGTTGCAAACCGGGCGTTCAGGAGTGCACACGAAAATGGAGGGGTGGTTTTGGGGAGCAGGGGGACAGGTATTAGGTTGAGGGGGTTGTGGCAGTTCGTGGGAGTAGGACGGTGTCTTGTGGATGAGCGAGGTGATGGAGGACCAGGGTTCGGGGAGATGTCCCCCGCGGTTAGGAGAAGAAGAAGGGTGAGAAAGGTGGCATGGGAGTGGGATGTACAAGAGCGTGTGAGTCTACCAGTGGTGGCGTTCGATTCAGTAGGAGAGTGGAGTATCAGGAGGAGTTGGTGAGAGCCGTAGTGGGGAGATGGAAGCAGTGAGGGCACAATGTATAGTTGTTTGGGAGGAGCAGAGGGATAAAGAGAAGAGATTTTGGGAACGGAGGAGAGGAGTATGAGGAGGAGGAGTGGAGTATGAGGAGGAGGAGTACAGGTGGCATTTTAGGAAGGTAGACGGAGTGGCGGACAAGTGAGGTGGAAAGTTTCTCTGGGCGCTTGGTTGCAGATAGTCTGGCGTGCAGTGGCGTATCTCATTGTTGTAACTTCCTGCAGTAAGAGTTCTCGTGCTTAGGATCAGGATAGGTAGAGTTCAGTTCAATAAGTTGTGGCCAAGGGTAGTCAAGCTGCAATTTCCAGATTGTGTCAGTCCCAGATTGAGGGGTGAGGTTTGGCTTGAGGAGATGAGGGGTGGACGTCAGCAGTGGAAGTGTTTCCCAGGTGGTGATGAGGTTTAGAGAAGGTTATGAGGGGTGGGCATCAGCTGTGGGAGTTGGGCGTAGTAGGGGCTGGGGGGATAACCGAACCAGCAGTCAGGCCTTCTCCCGCACTGTACTCACGGACTTTTTATGACTTTTGGATTCCTACCATTAGTGTAGTAGTCTTAGTTATTTAAAGAGATAACACTTTCTGTAGAGGAACATTGAAGAAACAAACACTGAGGGTGAGAACATTATCTGAGAATTGTTGAAACCAGTTAAAATTTGGACGCTTTAGATCTGAGAAAAAAAAAAACAGTGGTGTAAGAATATCAGTAGAAATCTGTTAGCTGTACTGTTAAGCCGGCCATAGATGTTTGAATCTCGGCTGGTTCAGCAGGGACTGGCCGAGCTTCGAACCATGTATGGCAGGGGTGTCAAACTGGCAACCTTTCAGCTGTTGCGAAACTACAAGTCCCATCTTGCCTCTGCCTTTGGGAGTCATGCTTGTATCGGTCAAACTTGCAATGCCTCGTGGGACTTGTAGTTTGGCAGCAGCTGGAGGGCTTCCAGTTTGACACCCGTGATGTATGGGGAGGCTGAATGTACCCAAGTTGATCGATCAAGTTGGGTAAAACCAGCCTGTCTGATTTTACATGTGATTATTTTTAACGGCTATTACAGCCGCTAGCAGTAATCACGGTGTTTTCCCAGCAGGGACGGCTCCCCCTACCGCCCCCATCGGTCGAACACAATGGCTCCACAAGAGGGATTCCCCCATCAACACAGTTGATCTAATCAAGCGATTTGCATGAAAGAAAATCGCTCAATCTATGGCCGACTTTAGAGCTTCAACTCTTCAACAGTTGCAATTTTGTATCCCAGTTAACTCAAAAGGGCTTAGAGTTTAGAGATGCTTGACCACTTGCAGAGTACAGGAATTATTCCCATCAGAGTTTTCTCTGTGTGGTGTTTGCATTTCCCCACACCTGTTAGGATTTCTTCCACAACCCCCCTCAAAAATATTCTAGGTTAATCAGCTTTCACTTAAAGCTTTCCCTAATGAACTGATAACCCAGAATAGAACTAGTAACCCAGAACATCTCTGTCTAGTAGCTCAATTGAATTAAGCCCACACAAAGACTGAGTTAGCAAAACCCTTACAGTGGATTTATTTCCTGATTTAGATTGTTGGTTATATTGGACCACAAGGAATAACTTTGGGTTAGATTGGACTTTATGGGCCAGTATGCCTTTACATGATGTAGTTTTACTTTGTGTCCTTCTTCACTCACTATAGTTGATTTATATTTTTCTATATGTACTTTACCTAGGAAATGTGCTTTGAGTGGTCAAACAAAGACTTGTAAGCACAGGATTAAGCTCGGAGACTCCAGTAGTTATTACTATATTTCTCCATGTTGTAGATATAGGGTGAGTAAAGAGCATTATGTGATTCTCTTTGGTTATACATGTATGGAACACTTGCCCATTCATTTCAATTTTTATTTTGATTATTTTAGATTACCTCTGTATGTAATTTCTTCACGTATATTCGGTACATTCATCAAGGACTGGTAAAGCAGCAGGACGGTGAGTGAGAAATCACTTGGTAGTTTTAGCAAGTATGAACATGCCACCTGTTATAAGGTTGTAATTGCTGCCTACCTTGAAAATGGATAGCTGCGTAATCTCCGATATTTTTGGAACATTTACAATACTTGGCAAATTAATATAAGAGATTTTTATGTTTACTTAAAAGCACGTTAAGAGCGCAACTAGCAATTTATGGAAATAACCTTTACCAAAAAGAGAAAGGATGTCAGGGTAATACTCTTGTTATTTAGCAGGTGTGTAATATCACTTTTAGGGGCTTGTTCACACCAAATCAATTGATCTGCATTGATTTATGCAGAATGCTGGGTTGTGGCTTATTGCATAAAAATGAAGAGTTGCCCCAGGCCATTAGAGAGTGGCTTAAACGCATCCACAAACTGGATGAAATGGAAGAACTAATCTATATAGCCCGCGACTCCCCTGCCAGATTCGCAGCTAAATGGGCATGCTGGTCACACTTCCAGACAACAGCAGAATTCACCCTTCTAACTAACCCCCCTCCCTCCTAACATCTGCATTGCCTTGCATCTGTGGCATTCCCTTCATTTCTCCCCAGCTATACCACTTACAGCACCCGCAGAACCTACCCAGCGTCAGACACTTAGCTGCCTATGCTTCAATTACCTCACCTCATGAGTTACCACCCTCTGACCCCCTTCCCTCGCTCAGTAAATCCCCCCCCCCTTTTTTTGTTCTTTCTCTCTCTTTTTCCTCTGCCCTTCTCCTACACCTTATTCCGCTGATCCCCGCCTTCAATAGCCCGTTTTTCATTGCACCCCCTTCGCAAGATTTTCCGTTTTTTCTCACATGAGCCACACCCCCTCCCTTTGCCTTCTAGGCTCACACTTTCCTCTTACCCTTACCCCTTCCTCCCACAGGGGTCACACCCCTCCAGTTTACTCATGTTTATGTTAACACTCTTGATCTGTTCTTGTAACTGCTAGCTGTTTCTAGCATTTTACTGCTTGAATATAACCCATATTCATGTATGTAAAGTTCTTACCTTTTCAATAAAATCTTTTGTAGAAAAAAAAATAATAATAATTAAGAGTTGACTAAAGCAAATATTTCGTTGCTCCTGCACAATGGACACCAGCCTGCAACTGTTTTAGTGTGCAGACTAGTGTACATGAGCCCTAAATCACTGGCCAATGCCAGTAGTCATTACTCATTTTGGTTACATTTCCCAGGAAACATTAATTCAAGTATTCCTGCTAGTACTTTGTTCTGCAGTGCAGCCAATCCTAAGCTGCTTTACATATCACATAAAATGATATTTAGTAGAATAAATTTCTTTTTTTGGCGTAGGTTATTTGCATACATTTCCCAGGAAGCATTACCTAAAGCAGATATGTGAATTTACTAGCTATTGATGGCCTCAAGTGCAGCACCTGATTGAGCAATAGGCCACACATTATATTCATTATCTCTCATATGCCAAATATAGCATTAGCTAGTGAGTGCAGTGTGTAATTGTGAAGCTAATGAGTAGTAAGGGCCCTAGAAGTTGCCTGTATAGCTTTAAAAAAATCACAATTACAGATGATCATATTAAAAATCAGTGGATGTGCCTTATTGTTTGCTACCACATATGAACAATGTTTTGCATATTTGTGTGGCAGTAGTTGGGTCAGTGACTTATCTGTACTCCGGTTCCTGACCGATATAATGTTACTTTTCAAATATTTGTTTTGAAATGTAAAGAGGAATCATCCTTGTTAGTGTAGAGTTTTAAATCTCCACAAGGCTTTTCTTATCCATATAATGGATATAGCTTATCTGAAGCATGCCGTTTCAAGATAAATATTGTGACAGAAGGCCAATGAAAACTACTGGCTGTATCTAGATTGGGAGGTACAGTGAAGGAAAAAAGTATTTGATCCCCTGCTGATTTTGAATGTTTGCCCACTCACAAAGAAATGATCAGTCTAAAAAATCGAATGGTAGGTGTATTGTAACACTGAGAGACAGAATAGCAACAAAAAGTTCAAAACAAATGCATGTCTTACAAATTATGCACTGATTTGCATCTTCATGAGGGAAATAAGTATTTGATCCCCTTCATAAAACATGACTTAGTACTTGGTGGCAAATCCTTAGTTGGCAATCACAGAGGTCAGACGTTCCCTGTAGTTGGCCACCAGGTTTGCACACATCTCAGGAGGGATTTTGGCCCACTCCTCTTGGCAGATCCTCTCCAAGTCATTAAGGTTTGGTGGCTGACATTTGGCAACTCGAACTTTCAGCTCCCTCCACAGATTTTCAATTGGATTAAGGTCTGGAGACTGGCTAGGCCACTCCTATGTTGATATTTTGTGTGCTATAGTACTTGATGCAAAGAGTTCATGCAGGATTACAAAGGAGCGTTTTTCTTCTATTGATTAATTAATTTAGTAATTAATTAATATATATTTTTTTATATTTTATATTTTATCATTTACATATTTTAGTTCATACAATTTTTGTATGATATTTTATAGGGCAAGCTATATATTACTATATGGATATGCTCGTTTTATCTTTTTTATCCATCATTAAAGCATGTGGTTTTCCACATCTATATATATTTTTTTATATGAGTCTCTCTATGATTCATGCGGTTATTATAAAGAGTTATTGACTTGTGGTGCTTGTTTATTTTAGTTTATTACCTCACTGGGATTGCTAGACCTAATGGGAGAAGGTCTGTCCTCATTGGACTACATTAATATGGCTGTACAGGTTCTCTGCACAATGGACCATTAGAATATGGCCGCGATCGCACCGCCCACTGTGGTCTTGATGGGTGCAGTTCCTGGCCTTTATAAGGAAGTGCTGCCGGCCAATCACGCTGTCCTGATGAAGTCACGAGTTACGTGACGCAACGCGTCGACGGCAATAGCGTGGTGACGCACTTCCGGCGTGACGCCATCTTGGTGCACCTTTTTGATCCTGCTGTACACCCAGCATTGTATTGCCATCTCCATACAAGCTGTTTGCCATCCTATGAGCGGTTGTAACATCGGAGGAGAGGGTTTTCCGTTTACCTACTGGTCTGGAGGAATTGTGTCCTTGTTCATGTGATACCAACCTATCAAAAGAGTCCCTGAGTTGGAGGATTCCGAGGTGATCTACAGTACGCTTTGTGGCCCTGCAGGGTCATAGAGTGGAGGTGAGAGGCCATTGCAGCAAGACTGCCTGGGATCACGTTTTTGAAGTGTGCTGTGATTCACCTGCACCCCTGTAGATATATGAACTTTGGACACTTTACCCTGCACTTAACCACTATTATCAGCCTATTAAGGGCCACTGTTTTCTGCTTATCCCCAGGTGGTTTTGGATCATTTAAATACATATATATACATTCTGGTTATGTATTTTATTTAGGTATAGTTTTTTAGCGCTGCATCAACTTTTATATTTTATTCATATTGCCTTTGTTTGGTATGGGACAGATGCTGGCTGCTTCCTAGCTTAATTTACTGCTTACCATAAGAGCGCAGGAGGATATTTATGTGATTTACACTCCAGGACCTTAATGTGCTTCTTCTTGAGCCACTCCTTTGTTGCCTTGGCCGTGTGTTTTTGGTCATTGTCATGCTGGAACACCCATCCACGACCCATTTTCAATGCCCTGGCTGAGGGAAGAAGGTTCTCACCCAAGATTTGACAGTGCATTGCCCCTTCCATCATCCCTTTTAATGTGGAGCAGTTGACCTGTCCCCTTAGCAGAAAAACACCCCCAAAGCAGGATGTTTCCACCACCATGTTTGACAGTTGGGATGGTGTTCTTGGGGTCATAGGCAGCATTCCTCCTCCTCCAAACATGGCGAGTTTAGTTGATGCCAAAGAGCTCAATTTTGGTCTCATCTGACCACAACACTTTCAACCAGTCCTCCTCTGCATCATTCAGATGTTCAGTGGCAAACTTCAGAGGGGCCTGGACATGTGCTTTCTTGTTCAGAGAGACCTTGCGGGCACTGCAGGATTTCAAACCTTGTAGGCGTAGTGTGTTACCAATTGTTTTCTTGGTGACTGTGGTCCCAGCTGCCTGGAGATCATTGACAAGATCCTCACGTGTAGTTCTGGGATGATTCCTCACTGTTCTCATGATCATTGACACTCCACGAGGTGAGATCTTGCATAGTGCACCAGACCTAGGGAGACTGATAGGTTTGTGTTTCTTCCATTTGCGAATGATTGCACCAACTTTTGTCACTTTCTCACCAAGCTGCTTGGCAATAGTTTGGTAGCCCAGTCTAGCCTTGTGTAGGTCTACAATCTTGTCCCTGACATCCTTGGACAGCTCTTTGGTCTTTTCCATGGTGGAGAGTTTGGAATCTGATTGCTCCTGTGGACAGGTGTCTTTAATACAGGTAACAAAATGAGATTAGCAGCACTCCCTTTAAGAGACTGTTTCTAATCTCAGCTTGTTACCTGTATGAAAGACACCTGGTAGCCAGAAATCCTGCTGAATGATAGGAGATCAAATACTTATTTCCCTCATGAACATGCAAATCATAGCATAATTTGTTAGACATGCATTTCTTTTGAATTTTTTGTTGCTATTCTGTCTCTGTTACAATACACCTACCATTTGACTTTTAGACTGATCATTTCTTTGTGAGTGGGCAAACCTTCAAATACAGCAGGGGATCAAATACTTATTTCCTTCACTGTATATTTGTCCCAGATTCAGTCAGTTTGCAGAATATTTTTTTTATTATTTAAGGCCTCCTGCACACTGGACGTTTTTTTCAGCTGCTCCTTGGGGCATCTGGCGTAAGTTATTTTTTTTTGTTCCTGCCTCCAAACTAGGGATGCAATATCACAGTTTCGGCCACTGAAACATATCGTCCAAAAATAGCCCTATCGGCATGTAGCCGATACAGGGGACTGTGTGTACTGCAGATATGAGGGGGCTGGGGTGGCAGAGAAAAGCAGAAGAGGAGCAGTGTATACAGTGACTGGCTGTCACTATATGTCAGTGCCGGTTTTTAAATGTAATTATCAGCTTTTTTTTCTTCACTGTAGCTCCGAGAAAGCTGTCACTCTCCTGAGCTACAAGAAACAAATTATTTTTTAGTTTCTTTTCCGAACTAAGAGAAACAAAGTTTCCTTTAACTCTGGGGAAAGTGACTGCTCATAATCTGAGCTATAGTGAAGAGAAAAAAAAAAGCCAGCAATTGCATTTAAAAACTGGCACTGACACATAGTGACAGCAAATGAGGGCATCTCTCTGTATACACTGCTCCCTCACTTTATACACTGCTCCTCTCCTGCCTTGCACACACTGCCCCCTACAAAGAGGACCTGTCACTCATATGTTATCACATAGGGGACCCCTATGTGATAGCAATAAAATCAAAGGCTAAAAAAAAAATTGGAGCCTCCCCACATACGCAGACATTTTGGTTCGATTTTCGGCCACATGCATTCTGAATTTTCGGTATCGGCACCAGAATTTTCATTGCAGTGCACCGCTATTCTAAACTCCCCTACATGTTAAGCTATAAACCTTTAGAGGTGTTTAGTGGCAGGAGATAAATAATTTCACTGGCAAGAATAAATAAATGTGCAACACACTTTTAAAAGTGTCAAGTGTTTTTTTTTTTTTTTTTCCCCCCCCCCCCCCCCAAAATGCAAAGCGGAAAGGCTTCTAGGAGAGTTGAGAAAATGCCCTGTGTGCATGAGGCCTAAATTAGGGAGCTGTGGGTGATGGGCTGGCTGACTAGATAAAAAGCCTAGCTGGAATCCTGCAAATAAGTATATCCGAAGTTAGAGGTAAAGCTTCCACCAGATTGTAAAAAATGCAGGCTTACCAAATGTGAATGCCCCTCTAACTAAAGAGAAGTCCAAACAAAGCATGAGTAGTAATGTTCCACAGGAACCTCTTTCAGGAGTCCACAGAAAGCAAAATTTGACTCTGATCCACTCCAATCATATATAACTGGAATCTCCTTACTCGGCCATCAGTCACCACAGCTCATTATTTATTATTTTTATTTTATTTATTTATTTCAGGTACTTGTATAGCGCTGTCAATGTACGCAGGGCTTTACGTCTGTGCGTGTGTGTGTTTGTATGTATGTGTATATATATATATATATATATATATATATATATATATATATATATATATATATATATATATTACATTCACATCAATCCCTAGCCCTCAAGGGGCATACAATCTAAGGGTCTCACTAACATACTAGGGCCAATTTAGACAGGATCCAGTTAACCTACTAGCATGCAGTGGGGAGAAAACCGGAGTACCCGGAGGAATCCCATGCAGGCACAGGGAGAACATGCAAACTCCAGGCAGGTTGGGATCCGAACCAATGACCCTAGTACTGCCGGGTGGAAGTGCTAATCATTTAGCCACTGTGCTGCCCATAGAAAGATGCGGAAAAAAAATGCCCCACATGACATAAAACCATCTGGACAACGTCCGCTTAGAAATGCTTAGAATGGAGCCTGCTGTTGACATCATTGTGTAACCAGAAGTCATCCCGGAAGTGCCTGTATTACCGGTCGGCGAGTGGTTTTTATGTATAGTGACATTACTTCATTTTAAATGTGAGTATATTTTAGTCTTGTAATAAAGTTCCTGGGTGGTTTTATGCTATGTGGGGCATTTGCTTTTATCTTTCTATGAGCTGTGGTGATTGATGGCTGAATAACAAGATTACAGTTATATATGGTTGGGGTGGATCAGAGCCAAATCCGACTTCCTGTGGACCCTAAAAGAGGCAATTCCTGTGCAACATTACTACTCATGCTTTGTTTGACTTCTCTTTAGTTAGAGGGGCTTTCACTTTTGGTGAGCCTGCATTTTGTTACAATCTGGTGGAAGCTTTACATCTATCTTTGGATACCCTTATTTACAGGATCTCTCTTGATGGATGTCGGCTTTTTCCATCACATTTTTCTTAGAACATTCATTATTTTATGGGGCTTTCATTGTTTGAGTTCTGTGCACATATTTGAAACACTACACATATTTGTACATGGTACATGATTTATTTTATGATTCAGTAGTTATAGTTATATACGTTTAGGATTTAACTTGTAAGCGGTGGAAATTAGTGCTCCATTTTTGCTATATCTCATAGTATGCTTTTATTCTACAGCAGCCATCACCTCAGGCAGGATTGCTACCTAAAGGGAATATTTACATTGGCTATGTAGCTATTCATTTTATTTGTTTTTCTCTCCCAATCTTGGGTACATCAGCATGCTATGAGTAACATTGGTTTTCTTTATATTTTAGAGACAGTGTGCAAAACTATATGTAATCACTGGTAAATGCATTAATTTTCTGTCCCATGTGAACACTGTAGTGATTTGTCAGTTAGTAGTTTCTTAGTAAAGGCATGCACCTAAATTGCTACAATCCAGAATTTTAAGTGCATCTGTATTCAGTTGTAAAATATGTACAAGGAGTTTTCTGAAAACAAATTTATCATATTTTTTTTACTTTTACACATTGTTTGAATTGACTTTAAAACAAAATGACCTTGAAACAAAGTCTGTATGTGTATGCTCTTTTTTTTTTCTATTTCTTTTTTCTACACAGTTGATCAGATGTTCTGGGAGATCATGCAACTGAGAAAAGAGATGTCTCGAGCGAAACTTGGATTTTTCAAAGAAGAAATTTAAGGCACTAACAGATTGTACCTGGACTTAATATCTTCCATGTTAGGTAGATGGGAGAAATTCTATAACACAGGGTTTTGTTTACCTAAGCCACTGAGATCACACAATATCTATCTTATGTACTCTGCTAACTACACTGTATGAAACTACCCTATCCTGTGTGCTACAGACAGTTTATTGCTGAGTATTCTTGCAGGCATTAATATCTGTAAATTATTGGTGAAACTTGCAAATTTCAAGAAATAAAGTGTAGTTTGAAATGAGATCAGTGTGACATTTACTAATATCTTGGTGGTGACTAGGATCTGGAAACAGATAGTATAAAGGTTAATCAGTAGTGATTATCAGCAACACATCCCGTGTTTGTGTCTTCATGGTCAGAGCAGAATGGGGTTTTCCATGGAATGAAGATGAAATTGTTAATACGATCCCTTTGATAATGTATTGCAGGTACTTTTAAGGCTATTTTTAGCTTGTCATTGACAAAGAGAATGTAGAGGATACTCAATTTACCAGCAAAAGTGAATACAGTGTGCTGGTTGTGGAGTTTAATCTCTAGATTATTATTTTTAAAATGTTTGAATTATCATGAAGTTTTGGGTAAACAAAGCTGTTAAGGGTTTTATAGATATAGGAAACATTTCGCTTGATGAAGTGGTATATTCTGCTTGATTAAAATAATTGGCTGAAATTAAATTTTTTTTTGAATAGAAAGTCTGGTTTCAAGTATACAGGACATTGTAATTATTTGTTTTTATAATGTGCCTAATGTGCAGCGTTTACATGGGGAAATTAGAACCTTTTAATTTGGCGTTACTAATGTACTATTGTGTTCCATGGCATCCACATCTACTTTGTTTTTCTCATTCAGGGCAAATTGACATACTCTCTTAAAGTCCACCCTGCAACCTAATTCTACCCTTTTCAAGCTCCCCCTTTGCTCTATCCTAAGCAGGGCTTACATTTGACTACTTATGCAGGCCATAGATGGGTCGAAAATCGGCCGATTTTTCTTTTAAAAAAACGAACAATCGGTCGTTCAAGTGGCCGACGTTACCACCAATGGTAAAAAAAATCGGCCGATTTTCATCCCGTCTACAGCCGGCAAAAAGTGTCCCTGCAGAGAGCTCTGCTATTTCTGACAGTTCTCTGACAGTTCCTTGACATTTATAGCGGTTGCAACATTGTATCTATTTGTTTCCATTTAGGATACAGATGTTTTTTTATTCGGAAACAAATAGATACAATGTTGCAACCGCTGTAAATGTCAAGGAACTGTCAAAGAAATAGCGGAGCTCTCTGCAGAGACACTTTTTGCTGGACTGGAATTCCTCTTATTTTCATCCTACTTCTTCTTCTTCATCCTCATCCTCTTCTTCTTCATCCTCATCCTCTTCTTCTTCATCATCATCATCCTCATCCTCTTCTTCTTCATCCTCTTCTTCTTCATCATCCTCATCCTCGTCTTCTTCATCATCATCCACATCCTCTTCTTCTTCTTCTCCACCCTCATCCTCTTCTTCTTCACCCTCTTCTTCTTCTTCTTCCTCATCTTCTTCACCCTCATCCTCTTCTTCTTCATCATCCTCTTCTCCTTCTTCATCCTCATCCTCTTCTTCTTCTTCATCTTCATCCTCATCCTCATCCTCTTCTCCTTCTTCTTCTTCATCTTCTTCATCCTCATCTTCTTCTTCAGCCTCATCCTCTTCTTCTTCTTCTTCATCTTCTTCGCCCTCTTCTTCTTCTTCTTTTTCTTCTTCTTCTTCTTCATCCTCATCCTCTTCTTCTTCCTCATCCTCTTCTTCTTCTTCACCCTCTTCTTCTTCTTTTTCTTCTTCTTCACCCTCTTCTTCATCCTCATCCTCTTCTTCTTCTTCATCATCCTCTTCTCCTTCTTCATCCTCATCCTCTTCTTCTTCATTCATCCTCATCCTCATCTCCTTCTCTTCTTCTTCATCTTCATCCTCATCCTCTTCTTCTTCTCCTTCTTCATCTTCTTCATCCTCATCTTCTTTTTCTTCATCTTCTTCATCCTCATCCTCTTCTTCTTCATCTTCTTCATCCTCTTCTTCTTCATCCTCATCCTCTTCTTCTTCTTCTTCATCATCCTCTTCTTCTTCTTCATCCTCATCTTCTTCTTCATCCTCTTCTTCTTCATCCTCATCCTCTTCTTCTTCTTCATCATCCTCATCCTCTTCTTCTTATTCTTCTTCTTCATCCTCACCCTCTTCTTCTTATTCTTCTTCTTCATCCTCACCCTCTTCTTCTTCTTCTCCTTCTTCTTCTTCATCTTCTTCTTCATCCTCATCCTCTTCTTCTTCCTCATCCTCATCTTCTTCCTCATCCTCTTCTTCTTCATCCTCATCTTCCTCATCCTCTTCTTCTTCTTCATCCTCATCCTCTTCTTCTTCTTCATCCTCATCCTCATCTTCTTCATCATCCTCATCCTCTTCTTCTTCTTCTTCTTCATCCTCGTCCTCTTCATCCTCATCTTCTTCTTCTTCTTCTTCTTCTTCATCCTCATCCTCTTCTTCTTCATCCTCATCCTCTTCTTCATCCTCATCCTCTTCTTCTTTTTCTTTTTCTTCTTCCTCATCTTCCTCATCCTCATCTTCTTCTTCTTCTTCTTCTTCTTCATCCTCTTCTTCTTCATCTTCATCCTCATCCTCTTCTTCTCCTTCATCTTCATCCTCATCTTCTTCATCCTCATCCTCTTCTTCTCCTTCTTCTTCTTCTCCTTCATCCTCTTCTTCTCCTCATCCTCATCCTCTTCTTCTTCATCCTCATCTTCTTCTTCTTCATCATCCTCTTCTTCTTCCTCTTCTTCATCCTCTTCCTCTTCTTCTTTTTGTCTTCCTCTTGCAGGTCACTGCTCATGCGCAGATTTTTTATCGGTAAAAAATCGCCCGATTTGCCCACTAATTGCTGCGAAAATCGGCCGATCGGCAAAATCGGACAATTTTTTTCCAACTTTACCAAAAAAAAAAACGGCCAAAATCCTGAAAAACGGCCGAACAAATAGCCCACTAACGATCCGAAAATCGGCTGATTTTATTTTCGGCCGAAAAATCGGCCGATTTTCGACCCATCTATGGCCTGCATTACTCTGAAGGGAGCATGGCATTTTTACCTGAATGGGCAAATGGACTAAGAGGAAGTTTTTACTACAATCATGCATAACTTTTTTATTATTTATTATAGGTATTTGTATAGCGCTGACAATATGTGCAGCTCTTTACATACGCATTCACCTCAGTCCCTGACCTCAAGGAGTTTACAATCCACGGACCCTACCTCACATGAATACACACACATACTAGGGCTCATATAGACAGGAGAAAATTAACCTAATAGAATGTCTTTGGAGTTTGGAAAGCATACAGAAAACATACAAACTCTATTTGTACCAAAGACAAGACAAAAGGGCCAATCACTAAGCCACTAAATGTTATAAATTGCCCAGCTGATCTTTGACCCTTCCCCTACAGATTTAGTACTTGATCAGCTTGTGGCCTTGGATGCTTCTGACCCTTCAGCTGTGGAAACTTTAATACCATATCGAAACGCTTAAGTCGCCGACTGATGAGCTCTCCCCTGAGAAGTCATAGCCTGCTGCCATTCCTCCAAAATTAAGAGACCATTTCTGGTCTTGGTGTGGTATGTCACACCCTGAAATTGCAAAATAAGCCTGTAGCTTCTTCCAATACAGTGTCTGTTCTTGGGTCCTATAGGATCCAAAACCTTCCCTTCTCACCCTTTTTTTTTTTAGTTATTTCTGTATAAAGTTTGGAAGCACGCTGATAACAAGCTCTTGTTGGAGCTGTATACTTTATTCAGAAATGTATCACTAAGTGGTCTGTTTGGGAAGTGGATCCTACATCTTAACAAGGTACATACCATTCTGGTTGAGGATGTCCATTCATTTAAGGACCACACTGATAAGAGACTAGAAGCTGTTAGTTCTCTTTTGCAGGATTCTGGCTGTAATCCTCTTTGACCATTGACTTTAGCAGATTGAGGTAATGCTGGTCATAGATGAGACCATTTTTTTTTTTTTGTTTAAGCAAGGGGTTGAATTAAAAAAAAACTGACCTGATTTCCCCATCCATGCATGTTCAAGGTGGATGCAGGATTCTTCCCCATAGTGTCTTCATATTCTCACAACAGAGAGTCTTCCCCCGCAGTCAGAATATAGAGATCAGCGCTGCAATCTATAGCCTGAGGTGCTGATTAGGCAGAAATTTTCCAATGGGATGGTTGAACAGAAGTGTGTTTAACCACAGTGGCCATACAAGGCTAGAAATCTGGCCAGTTCCTGCTGAACCGGCTGACTTTAAATCCATGTATGACCAGCTTAAATCCTGTAATCTTGATATGACTGATGTGGATATTGACTCACAGATCATTGATTACATGGACAAAATGTATTTGGCCTTAAATTTTAGATGTTACTACTTGCTAGAAGCTTCTCGCTTATGGTTTCCTATTGGTCTTCTGTCTGTGACTGAAGTGCTGAATTGCAGAGATCACTTGCAAGAAGCATTTACTCCATGTGGCCTTTAAAGGATACCACCTCTTTGGAACTATGTTGGATGCTATCATTAGGGATGCTACTGGATGTAAAAGTGTCCATCATCCACAGTAAAAGAAGCCTAAGGAGCAGGCTTGTAAGTCCTCTGTTGCATCTGTGTCCTTTTTGCTTAACTACAAATTCTGCCTCCTCATCTGGCCCCCCAAAGCTTGGCTGTCTTTCCACCAGAAAGAGTTGGCATTCCAAGTCTGCCAAATGCATCAACAAACCCTCGTGAGCATGAAGGACTCCCCTGTGCTCTAAAGTGTAGGGAGTGTTTACTGGCCTTTGTGGATGCTTGAATATTATCTATTTCCAATGCTTGGGTGCAAGAAGTGGTTTTCAAAGGTTACAAGTTTGAGATTCATTCTCTACCTGCTCGCTTTCCTATTTCCGATCTTCTGGCGTCTTCTCTGCACTGGGCCAATTTTTC